GAGAGAGATGGTGGTTCGTGGAGCAACGTCGTCAGGCGGTCCTCAGGTGGTGGTCTGGCAGAAACGCGGACGATTGTTGAGGAGGAAGGACAAGTAAAAGCCATCTCCGTTCTCTCTCTTTTTCTTAGCTTAGGATCCCCTTTTAAGAGACTAGGGAGCTCTATTTAGATTTTCTGAGAGTGGCATTGACACGTAAATAGGTGAGAGATCAAGGGTAAATGGGGAGTGGTTGGTGAACCGGCCGATGTTGAATCCCTTGAATCATGCACCGTTCTTTAGAGCATTTGAGAAAACTTAATGATGTGCGGAATTTGCGATCTTGGGCTCGTTGATTTGTTTGTCGAGCCTCTCGATTCATATAAGGATGTTATGTTTAAAAATGCGTTTGCTAATCAATTTGTGGTTTGAACCTTCCAAACAGCGCTTCGGGTCCTTGATTTGGACCCATTTGGGCTCGTAAATTGATCGAATTTGGTGTCGTTGGCGTTTGTATTTCGAGACGGCTCAGTTCAACTGTAAGTTTTGCTGAAAATCGGAGTTTAGATTGTTTGCAAAGTCATGACATTCCAAATGGTGGGGGACTAAACAATCATTGTTTTTTTTTTTTTTTTTGGGTTTCGCTGATGCCACAGAGGAGGGGGGGGGGGGGGGGGGGGGGGGCGGCACGTGCCCCCTCATGCCCCCCTTTCATGTGGTTTAAATCGATGCAAAGCGAAGAACCTTACCAGGGCTTGACGTCAGAGAAAAAAGAACGAATTGATCTTGTAGGATTCCCAAGAAATTCTTCGAACATCGGCCCTCACAATTCCGTCTCCATCTACCAAAACTACCAGAAATGTTTCAAAAAAGGTAATAAATTGGTATTTTTGATATAAATCCAATTGGTTTAATTCTCTATGGTGTAACAAAATATCTCCCATTTCCAACTCGAATAGCCGCTCCCTCATGCCCCCCTTAAATCCGTCACTCCCGTAAAAAATCCTATTCGTCCTATTCTGCGATTAAATTCAAAAATTAATATTATAACTCTATTTGGAAGTTTGGTGATTAGGTCCATCCTATTTGATGGTTTGGTTGCTCGTGCTTCACAATACACATCATGGTAAGTGGTCCACCATCCACCTTATCCGCAGCCGAGCCGCTCGTCAAGTAAATGAACCGAGCATCTACTGGATCGTACTCGTGCTTGATAATCCAATGAGCTCGAGCATGAGCTCAAAACTCAAAAAACTTGACTCGCCAGCTCGTTAACGAGTCAAATTCAAACCGACTCATGAGTCGGCTTACTCATTTGCACCCCTCCCATTGATGGGCAATTTAATTGTCACGCGGTGCAAAGTGCCAGCACATGGCTGTTCCTTATAGCGGAAGTTGGATAGCCTTTGGGGTCATATATAAGTCCCCATTTAATTTCATGTCATTTCATGCATCTCCTTCCTTCTAGTTTCTCTCTAACTTTTTTATTTTCTCCTAAGCTGTATTTGTGATATAAATTATTTGGCTTAGGTGCAATGGCTGAAGTAAGCAGGATGCAAAGCCGAAGACGGTCAGGTGAAACATCACATGCTCTCCCTACACAAAGATCTGCTCCTCTAGAGTTACGTCATAGTATTGCTTCTCTACAAGGCACACATAGAGCAATTTACCTAGACATTGTAAGTATTATGATCTTTTTTTCTTTCGAAGATGCTTTTACATGTAGCACTAAATCTAATATTCTTGATCGTAGGGTACTATATTGGAGGCAGCTTCACACCTCTTTATTCTTAGGTAGTGGTGCGTTACATAGCCCACAATTTATTGAGGGGCTATGACTAGCTGAGTTGGAATGTCTAAAGCACTTATCAGCATATAAAATTTGACCATCACCTAAATACATGGTTTTTTTTTTTATTGGAGTGTGTGTCGTCGGCCTACCATTTATTGGCAAAAATGTTATGGGACATGATAGAAGATGGTATGCTTGACTAGATTGTTGTGATGAATTGTTGGGCCAATAACTAAAGGAATTTGTACACATGCTGTTGACATATACTCTATCTTTCGGATGTGATGGACTTTATCTCAGACATGCTTACCTTTGTGATGGCCAATTTAATAAGCATTTTTTTATTGTAGCACATCAATCTGGTATGTTCGACCACTGGAATTCTTTGGCACGAACTTGCCTGAAATTGTCAACTCACCATTATATCTTAGTATCAAATGAGGAATATTATTGTTCATTTTAATTTGATTTCTGTTGAAAATTATTAGTAAAGTGATATAGTCAAATCATCTATAAGGATAAATTTTTACATAAATTTTGCAAAATCAGGATGCATAGTATATATCCAATTTGCGAAGCAAATTAATAATTATAAAATCTATTCAACTAAATATTTATTAAAAATACCAACCAAATTTCTTCTCAGAAAAATAAAACACTTTGTAATGTTGTCGGTGAAAACATATTAATTTTGCATGACTACTCTAATTCACAATAGTTTTATAAGCACTAGAAAAATAAAGCCATACTATAATTCACATAAGTAGGGGTGTTAAAATTTGACACGACACGAAAACTCAAACCGGAATTTTCGGGTTAGACCCGACCCGTTTTTAAAACGGGTCGGGTTCGGGTCCTCCGGGTCGGGTCAACCCGGCAACCCGCCGGGTCGGGTTCGGGTTCGCATTTCTGACCCGTTTACCTATTCGGGTCGGGTTAGGGTCGACCCGTTTGAACCCGGGTCAGTTTCGAGTCTGACCCGAACCCGACCCGTGACCCGAAATTGACACCCCTACACATAGGTATATAGTGAGTAATGTCAAAGAATTATAGCTTATGATCAATGAATTTATTATAGATTGACAATCTATCTTTTATTAATAAAATTAAATTATAAGATAAAAAGAAAGATTATTTTGATGGAACTATGAATTTAAATTTTCTCTCGAATTACAATAACATGGTATTTAGAACTACATATTTAATGTTTTTTAATCATATTATTCAATAAAATAACTAATAATCTAAATCAATAATTATTTTCTTAAAAGTGATTTCTTGATATATGTGGAAATTATATTTTAATTATTGTATAATACTTCTTTGGCACTTAGACTTTGCATATAATACTAAAATAGCGCATATACTTTACTTATTATATTATTGGAGTTAGAAATATCCCCTCTATATGAATATTTCAAAAGATTAAAATATTTGTAATTTATGAAGAAATTATTACGTGCAGAGTGCACATAGCTTTACATTTGATTTCAATGAAATTGTGATATCTGAATTTGTATACAGTGTGTACAAGCTTGTATATACTGTGTATAAATTTGTATGTTATGATTTCATTGGAGTTCGGACGAAGAGCTACACCCATACGTACTCCACACATAATAATTTCTCGTAATTTATATACATTCTATTGAACTTATGAGAAGGGTCTACTCATGATTTTAACTTTTAATATGCATCTCTGAAAAAATCTCACAGTATTATAAATTCTGAAGAGTTTAAAATAGAAAATGGAAAATTAGGGACTTTTTAATTTCCAGAATGACCGAATTGACTCCAAAGTCTTGCGGGGAAGTTTCGCTTTGTGCTCACCTGCAGCGGTTGCAGGGAAGTTTCCCTTTCTCTGACCTTTATAGAATACAATAAAATTCAGTGTAACCTTTGTGAAAGTTGAGCTAACCTACCCCAATTATTTGCCAGTCCTCTCAGCTTGCTCCGCCATTTACTCCCTGTCTTCATCTTTCTCTCCAACTAAGGTCTCTTCTTCCCTTGCAATCTACTAAGCTAGTCTCTCCATGTCCATCAACGTCCAGTTCGATCCACTCCAATTCCTGGCCGAGAATTGGGCAGACCTATTACGGCAAGTGGGATATCTCGGTGATCCCGGACCCAGAATTACTCAGCTGAACGAAGCCATGAACCATCTCCGATGCAAGTTCGAGGACATCAAAACCAGAATCAGCTCCGCCGAGCGGCGCGGCGAAACGCCGACTCGTGAAGTTCAGAATTGGTTAAGCAAGGAAGCCCTCATTAACGAAAAGGTCTCCAAAATCAAAACAGACCATGAAAATGGCATCTTTCGTTGGTACATCAACCGCCGTGCGGAGCAATGCCTCGCTGAAGTCAGGGCGTTGGTTAATGACTCCGAATTTGCCAACGTTGCAACCAGGCTACCGCCAAATGGAGTGCAAGAAGTCCCCGCCGAGCTGCCGCCGGCCAATCCTACAATGGTCTCCTACCTCTCCCAACTCCAAGATTTTCTCCAAGACGACGGATCCCGAATCTTCGGCATCTGGGGCATGGGCGGCGTGGGAAAGACCACTCTTTTGCACCGCCTCAACAACGAGTTGCTCTGTTCATCAGAAGCAGGGGGAGCTCCGCCGATGTTCGACCACGTTATCTGGGCCGTGGCATCCAAGGACTACAAGCTTGAGAAGCTCCAGCACGACATCTCAAACTGGCTTCATCTAACGTTGCACAAAGATAGAACCCAGCAAGCGATGGAGATCTGGGACTTTTTAAAAAACAAGAGCTTTCTTTTACTCCTCGATGACCTCTGGCAACAGGTAAAGTTAGCAGATTTAGGTATCCCCCAGCTTATCTGAAACGAAACTAAGAAGCAGAAAGTGGTGTTCACCACACGGCTTGAAGGTGTTTGTGGGCAGATGCAAGCTTGGCGCATGATGAAGGTTGAGTGTCTAAACGAAGAAGAAGCATGGTGGCTTTTTCAAGACAAAGTCGGAGAGCAGACTCTCCAAGCGCACGCGATGATTCCACAGCTTGCACAAGTAGTGGCTAAAGAGTGCGACGGGCTTCCGCTCGCTCTTGCGGTCATCGGCTACGCGATGAGCACGAAGAAAACACCAAGGGAGTGGCGGAACGCCATTACCCTGCTTAAGAAGTCTCGACCATATGGAATCCAAGGCATGGGTGACAATATTCTTTCCAAGCTAAAGTTCAGCTACGACAATTTGGCTGATAAAATTCTCCGCGAGTGCTTCCTGCTCTGTTCTCTGTGGCCGGAAGATCACTCAATTTCTAAAACCGAACTCATCGAATGCTGGATGGGGCATGGGTTGGTCGACGAACAAGAGTTCGACAACATCAACGAAGCTTACGACAGTGGCCACGCGCTAATCGGTGGGTTGCAAGCTGCGTGCCTCCTCGAACTAGGGCATAACAAAGATAGAGAGGTGAAGATGCATGACGTGGTAAGAGATCTTGCTCTCTGGATTGCGTCAGATTGTGGTGAGAGACAAAACAGATTCATTGTTATTTCCGACGTAACTTCTTCCAAGGATTCACAGGGAGCGGCAGAAAAGATGTCGCTTGTTGGAAGCGATGTCAGTGACACATCCAGCCTTTCGTCCAACTGTTTAAAGCTGAAAACGTTGATGCTACAGGGAAGCATGTCCTTTAAGTCAATTATGAAAGGATTCTTTCAAGGGACTCCTGCTTTGACTTATCTCGACCTTTCTTGCACGGCTATAAACGAACTTCCTCAGGAAATTGGTCTGCTTCGTAATCTTCGATACCTCAATATCTCCTTCACAAATATTAAATCGCTTCCAATGCAGCTCAGTGAACTCCGCAAGCTCAGATTCCTGCTCTTAAGGGATCTGGAAAGAATAGTCATTCCTAGAGATCTGCTAAGGAAGCTTATGATGTTGTCCATGATCGACATGACTAATACTGAGTGCAATAACTGGGATGAGCTCTCACAGCTGCGTGGATGTGTGAAAGGCGTGGGGATCGTTTTACAGAGCATTGAAGATCTACACAAATTTGCCAAGTTCCAAAATGTACTGACTTGGCGGCTGGAGCTGAGGAAACTGGTGGGATTCAATAAGACACTACAGCTTCTCTCGCCTTTTCAGCTAGGGAGCCGCTGCATTCGTTTCAGTATCCAGATGCTAAAGATTGCATATTGCGAGAGCTTAAAGATGGTGTCGATGGCATGTGACGGTGGCGGCGATATGTGTTCGCTCTCGAGACTGGAGGAAATACAGCTTAGGAGCTTGCCAGAGCTAAAGAATATTTTTTGGAGAAGAGTTTGTCCTGCTGGAGTGCTGCCTAGTCTAACTGTACTGACAATTTCTGATTGCCACAACTTGAGAGATCTCTCATGGGTGATCCGATTACCGAGCTTGGAAGATCTCACTGTGTACCGTTGCAGTCAAATGAAGCAAATAGTCAATGTTGTTAATGAAATTGGTCTCGGTGGTGTGGAGGAGAATGACGTTGGGTCCGCCAGTGGGACGTTCCCAAGTCTTAGGAGGCTCTATTTGAGGGATTTGAGAAGCTTGAGAGATTTTGGAGGATCATTTAGGTTCGCTTCATTGGAAATCATGCATGTGATTAATTGTCTGGAGCTGAAGGCGCTGCCGTTTGGGAAGGAGATCGCTGTAAGGAAGCTGAAAGAGATTTGGGGTGACAGACAGTGGTGGGAAAATTTAGATATGAAAGACGATGATAGGGCTACACTTCTACCTTATCTAAAAGCTAGGGCAGAACTCTGTACTGCTGAGCGGGAGCTATTGCCTCCCCGGAAAAAATTAAAACGATCAGCATAGTAATAGTTATTAGTAATCCACCCCCCAAGTTGTCTCTCCAAAAATTAAAAAGTATATTGGCCTCTCATTTTTTTATCAGATTATGTTAAATTTTTCTAATACTAACAATTAAGTATGTGAAAAATGATTATGCTCACTTGCCTCCTGAGAACTATGGATGGTTCTGTATTGAAAGTGCAATTATCCGGTGGAGGTGGCTTCACACTTACGTCCACTGTCCTTTAAAAAATATCCATAAAGGCTATACATTTTCAATTATTTTATAGTTTCACGTTTGCAGGTAATAATTTCTAGTTTCCAAGAAGGTATAATAAATCTTTGTGATCTGTTAAAATTTTTATGAGGATCTCGAAAACTCTTAAAATTATTTAGTAAAATTATTTAATACTTAAATTTTATTATTTACTAAAGTTGACCTCATTATTAACTTTGCCTCTCTTGTTCATGGTACTCAAAACTAATAGGCAATGAAGTTCTATGAAAGATAATATCTATGAGTGGCCTCTGAATACCCATTCTCAATAACAAATAAGAGTTGGGGAAGATCCATTGAATATGACTGACAATTAGATGATGGGTTCTACGATATGAGATAGTTGAGAAAGAAGAAGACGTCTATAAGTTGCGATGAGCTTTCATCACGGAGGAGCGATGTAGAAGTGCGTCAATAGGACCAATTGTTGGTGAAGAAGTATTGACCAAAGTCTTTAAAGATAATTATTAGTTTTTCTAATTTAAAGATTTAAATATTTTGTGCAAAATTTAGATGTAAAATGTATAATTTTTTAAAATGTTATGTAATAAAATCTCTCTATTTCATAGACTTTTATAATGTATATCTCATATTGTTGATAGAAAGTAACATTAATCAAATTGATAATGTGATTGTTTCTGTATTTATTGGTAAATAAGGAACCATCACTATTAGGATACCAAAAATGTTCATCATGATAATTCTTGTCATAATTGTTCCCACCATCATGTTTAGTAAATGGGCTCGAGTTCAAGTTTGATCAGGCTCGACACGTGAGCTCACAAGCTAGTTTGAATAATTATTAATATTTTTAAATAATTTTATTTTATTTATTAAATTTAAATATTTAAAAATAATAATAATAAATATTTAAAATATTTAATAATATAAAAGTAAATTTATATTTAATTTTAAAATAAAAACCTCTCTTTTCTCTGTTTCAGGTTTTTGTTTTCCTGTGTCTGGAATTTCTGCAGGTCTTGGGAGCATCAGGTGGTATCAGAGCCATTGAATCCAGAATGAAAGGATGACGGAGCGGGGCAAAGAACCGGCTGCCGACGACGATCGGAGCTTCGAAACGCTATGGGCAAACCAGACAGCCATCTTGCGCCAACTGGAGACGTTGTCTGCGGATGTGCAACGTCTTTCTCTGACACTGCACCGAGAGTTAAATCTCAATCGGGCAGCTGAAGCAAATTGTCTTCCTCGCCGGGGACAGACACCGCCAACTGTTCGCGGTGGCCGGCGTGGTGCGGGTTTCGATCGACCACGGCGTCGACTTCCCATTCCTGTACAAGGATTATCCGATTCCGACGAAGATTTCGAAGAACCTCCAGAAAGAGGCGGGAGCGAATCTGAGGAGGAGGAGACAAATTTTGATCAAGCGGGAGATCACTTCCATCGCAAACGACGTCCAGCACAGCGTCAGCACCAAGCATAATTTAAGGTCAAGGTAGACATTCCATTTTTTGATGGCCATTTACACATCAAGGATTACTTAGATTGGGAGAAAGCCGTTGAGAATTTTTTTGACTACATGGATATTGAGCCGACCAAGCAGGTCAAATATGTCGCCTGCAGATTGAGGAGTGGAGCGAGTGCGTGGTGGACTCAATTACTGCAAATGCGGCAAAGGGAGGGAAAAGGCCCAGTCCGTAGCTGGGTACGGATGAGGCAGCTACTTCGAGCACAATTCCTACCGACCGATTTTGAACAAATCCTATATATGAAGTATCAGCAGTGTGTGCAAGGCAATCGGTCAGTAAGTGAGTACACGGAAGAGTTTCATCGATTAAGCGCTCGAAACAATCTCAATGAGTCCATGAACCAGCTGGTAGCCAGATATATCGGGGGACTTAAATATAGTATTCAAGACCGGCTGGAATTAAATGCGATCTGGTCACTGTCGCAAGCCATCAATTTCGCTTTAAGGGCAGAGATACAACTAAGCCGCACATCCAGATCAACATTCACTCGAAGACCAACTCCTGATCCAGTGGCCGAAGCTTCAAGGGGGAGCTCCCTTCAATTCCAAAATATAGGCAGTGGCTCACTGTTGCCAACGCCTTCACAGTCCAAGCAGCCAGCCACTGTTTCATCAATTGCGGATGCCAAAGCACAGCCCAAAGCCAAAGCTCCTCAGCAGAATAATCCCTATGCGAAGCCTGGCACTCTAAAATGTTTCCGTTGTTTTCAGCCGGGTCATAAGTCGAACGAATGTCCTCAGCGACAACAACTGCAACTATTGGAAAATGAAGAAGGAGAACACTCGCTAGAGCCTGATGAGCAGGGGGATCGTGATGTAGACGAACTGGAGGGTGATGACGGTGAACCAGTAATCTGTGTTATTGAAAAACTGCTAATCGCTCCTAAGCATCAAAACACTTCTCAACGCCACGCAATTTTTAAAACCCGATGTACCATAGCCGGAAAAGTATGTGATCTGCTTGTGGACAGCGGCTGTACCGAAAACATGATTTCCCGATCAGTAGTTCAGGCATTGCAGTTGAAAACAACAAAGAATCCCCAACCTTATAAAATTAGTTGGGTCAAGAAAGGAATTGATATTCCAGTTTCTGAAATGTGCCAAGTTACTTTTTCTATAGGCCGCTTGTACGTATGCGATGTCCTCTGTGACGTTTTAGACATGGATGTTTGTCACCTGATCTTAGGCAGACCATGGCAGTTTGATTCGGGCGCCATTTACGACGGCAGGGCCAATCATACTCACTTGAGTGGAAAGGTAGACGACTCAAGTTGCTTCCAGGCGTCCGTGAAAACAAGCCTTCTGCTGCTGCTGCTGGTCAATCTACTTCTGCGGCAATGCAGTTAGTCTCAGGACCCAATCTACTCCTCACTTGGAAGGAGGCTGATCCGTTGTGGGCAGTGGTTATCACCGAACCGTTTGTTCCAAACTCCCTAGAACTTCCTGGGGAGGTACAGAAATTACTGCAGGAGTTTCAGGACGTCTGTCCTAGTGAGTTACCGGACACTCTGCCACCCCTCAGCAATATTCAACACCAGATAGACCTTGTACCTGGAGCGGTCTTACCAAATCTGCCCCACTACAGATTGAATCCCAGGGAACAGCAAGTATTGCAAACCATTATTGAAGACCTCCTGAAGAAGCAGCTTATCCAGTCCAGTATCAGCCCATGTGCTGTTCCAGCACTGTTGGTACCCAAGAAAAATGGTGAATGGCGTTTATGCGTTGATAGTAGAGCCATAAACAAGATCACCGTAAAATACAGATTTCCAGTGCCTCGGATCGACGAACTGTTAGATGAATTGGAAGGCGCTAGTATTTTCTCAAAGCTGGACTTGCGTAGTGGTTATCATCAGATCAGAATTCGTCCAGGCGACGAATGGAAGACAGCTTTTAAGACAGGATCCGGTTTGTATGAATGGCGCGTCATGCCTTTCGGCCTTTGCAACGCTCCCTCCACGTTTATGAGAATGATGCAAGACATTCTCAAGCCGGTTTGGGGAAAATTCTGTATTGCTTACTTTGACGACATCCTAGTTTACAGTGATACGTTGCTGCAGCATGTTGATCACCTCAAACAGCTCTTCGTTATCTTAAGGGACAATCGGTTGTTTCTCAACTTACCGAAATGCGAGTTCGCTACCTCTCAGGCACATTTTTTGGGCTTCGTGGTGTCCAAAACCGGAGTTCAAATGAACCCCGATAAGGTCGCAGCAATACAAAATTGGCCAACTCCCCAGTCTTTTTTTGAGGTGCGTAGTTTTCATGGGTTAGCGAATTTTTATCGCAAATTTATTAAGGGCTTCAGTGTGATAATGAGCCCTATAACGGATTGTCTTAAATCCAAAAACTTCGTCTGGGGAGAACAACAACAACATAGCTTCACTGCCATTAAGGAGGCGCTCACGTCTGCCCCGGTTCTAAGACTACCTAGCTTCGACAAGCTTTTTATGGTAGAAACTGATGCCTCTTCGATCGGTATTGGAGCTGTTTTGTCGCAGGAGGGTAGACCCGTGGCTTACCTCAGTGAAAAACTTTGCCCGTCTCGTCAACGCTGGTCGGCCTATGAACAAGAGCTGTATGCACTGGTTCGCGCTTTGAAGCAGTGGGAACACTACCTCCTACACCAGGAGTTCATTTTGTGCACCGACAACAAGGCCCTTTAGTTTATAAACAGTCAAAAGCACGTGAATAGGATGCATGCTCGCTGGGTGGCTTTTCTTCAAAGATTTTCATTTGTTCTGAAACATCAAGCTGGACAAGACAACAAGGTTGCAGATGCTCTTAGTCGAAAGGTCTTACTTGTCAACCAGCTTCAAACTGAGTTTTCGGGATTGGCTTGCCTTAAAGAACTCTACACAACTGACCGAGACTTCTCTGAAGTTTGGGCCAAATGCCAACAAAAGGAAATTGTCCCCTGCTACTCAATTAAGCATGGTTTCCTTTTTTACAATGGACTGCTATGTGTCCCGCTCTCCTCCTGGAGACAGCACTTCATCCGTGAAGTGCACTGTGGCGCCCTGGCTGCTCACTTGGGAAAGGATAAATCCTTAGCGCAAATGAAATGCCGTTTCTTCTGGCCACGCCTCCGACGGGATGTGTTTCGTTTTGTCGAACGCTGCGCCGTGTGTCAAAGCTACAAGGGAGGTGCCCAAAATACAGGCCTTTATACTCCTCTACCGGTACCGGATTCAATTTGGGAGGACCTTAGTCTTGATTTTGTTCTCGGTTTACCCCGCACGTCTAAAGGAAATGATTCTATCATGGTGGTGGTCGACCGTTTTTCGAAGATGGCTCACTTCATCGCCTGTAAGAAAACTTCCAACGCCCTTTATGTAGCTCATCTTTTTTTTCACCAGATTGTACGATTACATGGCATCCCACGAAGTCTGACGTCCGATCGGGATGTCAAGTTCATAAGCCACTTTTGGCGGGAACTTTGGAAGAGGTTGGGTACTGATTTGCGCCTTAGCTCGGCTTACCACCCTCAATCGGACGGACAAACCGAAGTAGTGAATCGTACTTTGGGAAGCATGCTCCGTTGCTTGGTACAAGACCACCCAAGACAGTGGGAAGAGGTCCTTAGTATTGCTGAATTTGCTTTCAATTCTTCAGTAAATCGCTCTACTGGTAAGCCACCCTTCCACATAGTCTATACCAAACCTCCTAACCTTGTTGTGGATGTAGCGGTGTTACCGAAGTTCAAGTCAGGATCCGCTGCCAATTTCTCCAATCAGTACACCACCATGCTCACTGACGTGCATACACAACTTGAGAAAGCCAATTCCAAATACAAGGAAGCAGCCGATCGCCACCGCAGACAAACATTGTTCAATATAGGCGACCTTGTCATGGTTCGCATGCGCCGTGAACGTTTTCCTCCGGGTACATACAACAAACTCAGCCGTCGCAAGATTGGTCCTATTCCCATCATTGCAAAAATCAATGATAATGCATATACGGTTGAGCTACCAGCCGGCCATAACACAGCCCCAACTTTCAACGTCTCTGATATATGGCTGTACCATCCACCGGATTCTTCTCCGATCACAGTCAGCTCGTCAGAGTCGAGCTCTTCGTCGGCCGGGGAGGACTGATGCAGTGCTTAACGTAGACCGCCGACGTAGTGGAACGCCTCAGCAGGCCACACGTTCCCTAGTACCAATTCCGTTATTATAGTACAATACTGCTTTTTAGTTGCTCTACTATAATTAGTAATTTCCTTTTACTATTATCTGAATTTTCATATGGTAGCTAAATACATATAGGAGAAACGTCTGTATTCAGGTAGCTTTTGATAATTCCCCAAGAAGAACTTCGAGAAAAAAAATGATTAAAATGAGAAAAAATATATAAATAAACAGAGAAATATAAGTTAAAAAAAGGATTAAGATGACCTTCCCCTCATCGATGAATAGAGAGATAAAAAATGTGAGATAGTAAAATAAAATTTTAAGATGCACATAAATATGTCATATTTTTTATCTCCCTTGCCTTAGCCGATTCATTCTCCCGACTGCGACTTCATATCTCCATTCCACGATCATCCGCACCGAATCAGTCATACCTGATGCTGAAGCCACCATCTCGACGCCAAATCCACCTTGCTGATGCAGAATCCATCCATCCTGATGCCGAATCCACCAACCTCAACGCCGCTCCCCGCAGAAATTCGAGAAGGAAGCCTCCAGCGGAGGAAGTAGGCTTGAGGGTCCGGAGAGTTTGCGGGTAGCCGGTTGTGGCCGAGGGAGAATGATGCAGTGCTTAACGTAGACCGCCGACGTAGTGGAACGCCTCAGCAGGCCACACGTTCCCTAGTACCAATTCCGTTATTATAGTACAATACTGCTTTTTAGTTGCTCTACTATAATTAGTAATTTCCTTTTACTATTATCTGAATTTTCATATGGTAGCTAAATACATATAGGAGAAACGTCTGTATTCAGGTAGCTTTTGATAATTCCCCAAGAAGAACTTCGTTCTACCATTTCCTCTTCTTCTCTTAACGGGAGGTGAACCTCTCTTTTCTCTGTTTCAGGTTTTTGTTTTCCTGTGTCTGGAATTTCTGCAGGTCTTGGGAGCATCAGGTGGTATCAGAGCCATTGAATCCAGAATGAAAGGATGACGGAGCGGGGCAAAGAACCGGCTGCCGACGACGATCGTCTCTCTCCTACTGTGATAATTATTTCACTGCCGACATGAAAAGAAAAATAAAAAATCTCACAGTATTATAAATGCTGAAGAGTTTAAAATAGAAAATGGAAAATTTTGGACTTTTTAATTTCCAGAATGATCCAATTGACTCCAAAGTCTTGCAGGGAAGTTTCGCTTTGTGCTCACCACCAAGCTGTTGCAGGGAAGTTTCCCTTTCTCTGACCTTTATGTAGTGGAAGATAGAATACCATAAAATTCAATGTAACCTTTGTTTTTTTTGGGGGAAAATTGAGAGCTTAGTCCATTTTCATTGATATGATATAAAATTACAAGTGTAAACTATAAAAGAACCAAAAAGAGGTGCAATGGCATCAGCAAAAAGGTTTCAAAAACCTACAAGGAACAAAACGACCGCCAAAAAATCATTCAAAACCCCTACAAAAAAATGCAATCACACAAAAAACCCTATAAAAACCAGCCTCCAATAATTCAGGAACATAAACATAGGGATATTATCTCCCACGCGGGCTAAGGGATTGTCGGAGCTCTAACAACCTGGTTGCAGTAGACCCCCATATTGCCATCCAAGGGAGAAACAAGGCAGCCCAGTCATCCTTGCCCAAAATAATCTGAGTAATTGTTACTGTTCGACTTAAATTCTAGATTGTTTAATATTTTTATTCTCTATTTATTTAATAAAATGTCCATTTTTCTACTTAAATTTTACATCATTTAATGATATTGAAAGATGAATTAACAAATGTTGATTTGACTAATAAAATCAAATCATAAAAAAAAAAGATTAATTTAATGAAACCATGAATTATAATCTTCTCCCCAATCACGAAGGTCCCCTCCCCATGAAATTTCGAAAGGCTTATATATAGTTAATTTTGTGTGTCTTCTAAGAACTTATGATCAGAAAGGGTTATTTATAGTTGTAACTTTTGAAGTGCATCTTTCAAAGCCCACATAATTAAGTGACTATACATAAGGCATATGATGGATAATATTTGAGCCACCTATGTAAGTCATTCATTAATGTAATGTGAATGAATCTTATTTTGTGTGTATTAGTTTGGTAATATTTTTTAACATAATTGATTGTATATGATTATTGCTTATTCAAATGTATTAGAGAACGATAAACAAAAAAAAAATCACAATATGCACACGAATAAGAGATTTACGTGAAAAATTAAAATATGAGAAAAACTACGGGGGAGAAGGGAGAACAACTTCATTATAAAGAAGAGACAGAGTACATACAACCTACAAATCCTAAGCCCTTAACAATATATTTATAGGGTAAAAATAGGGGCATCGAAAAAAAAGCAAGCAAAATTTCAAAAAAATCCTTACAACTAAAATTTGTTCCACCCTGCCAGGGGGAGCTGCCCCCTTGGACCCACAACATATTTGCGAAGCATACGACAGTTAAGGGCATGAACAAACAGAGGTCGAGCCAAATTTGAGGCAATTCCAACAAAATACTTTATTGTAATTAAGTTAAGTAATATAATTAGTTTATTACCCATTTTTAAAGTTTACTATTATTTTACCATAACATATCCATAAGCTAAATTTAACACTATGATTATAATCTTACATTTTTCTAAAATATGGCTTACCACATTATCTTTATGAGGCATAGACTAAGAGTCTATTAGGGGTGTCAACATTTGACACGACACAAAAATCCGACTCGGAAAATCCAGGTTGAACCCGACCCGATTTCAAAACGGGTCGGGTTCGGGTTCCATAAATTGACCAGTTTAAAAAATGGGTCGGGTTCGGGTTGACCCGACAGGTTGCCAGGTCAACCCGCGAACCCGTTTAATTCGAAAAATTTCGAATCCCGCCTCTGCCCGCGCTGCCTGCCGCGCGCTG